GCGGGGACCCCCCCAGCCAGCACCCTCCACTCACCAATTGGGGTGCACTTGCCACCCGGCTGGATGGGGTCTCCCTCGTAGCCTGGGGCACACCTGTGGAGGGGTGGGGGACAGGTGGGTGATAGGTGGGTGACAGGTGGGGGGTGTCAGGTGCCGAGGGAGGGACCCCCCACCCACCTCTCGCAGCGGCGGCCGGCGTATCCGGGAGCGCAGGCGTCGCAGGTGGCCTGGCCATCTGTGTCCAAAAAGCACGACTCTGAGAACCTGTGGGTGACAGTGACGGTGATGCCAGGGCAGTGACATCAGGAGCTGGTCCCTGGGATCAGCACCCACCTGCGAGACGGCTCAGTGTAGGGACAGGGACAAGGGTGACAGGCGGTGGCTGTGCCCTTGGTGGCATCACCAAAGAAGCCAGGTTTGCACTTCTCGCACTGGGGACCCTCCGTGTTGTGCTGGCAGTTCTGGGAGGGAGACACGTTACAGGGAAGTGGTGACCCTGTGCTGTGTCCCTGTCCCCTTGTCACCTCGTCAACCTCTCACTCCTTACCAAGCAGTGCCCAAAAACGGGGTCACAGGTGCTGGAGTGGCCGTGGCAGCCACAGCCAGAGCAGGTCCCCAGGTAGGGTCCCCTTGTCACCCGCTCGAAACGGGGGGCGCAGCGCTGGCAGGACAGCCCCGTGTAACCCACGGGGCACCTGGGGACAGAGCAGTGTGACAGTGGCATCACAGCAGCAGTGGCATTGAGCCCATGACCTTGCTGCCAGCGGTCACCTGCACTCCTCGATGTCACCAGCCGGCCCCAGGCCGGTGTCCACGCTGCTGGTGATGTCCATGGCCACGTCGCTGAGCCCCACGCTAGCCATGCGCCCGTCGTACACCGCCCGGATGAAGATGCCATCCAGCCCCTGCAGCACCAGCAGCAACAGCTCCCGGCTCACCGGAGCACCCTGCTCGTCCTCCCAGTGGTCCTGCCGGGACAGTGACAGCAGTGTCACAGCAGGGTAATGGCAATGCTGCCATCATCCACCTGCCATCACCAGCATCATTGCTACCAGCATCACCCACCCACCACCGGCATCACCCAGCCTTCATCCCTATCTCCTTCCCATCACTGGATTCACTCACCTGCCACTACATGACCCACCCAACTCCACTGGCATCACCCACCCACCACTATAACCAGTGTCACCACCCACCACCTGCATCAAACCACCCCCACCACCACCATCATCATCATCATCACCCAGCCATCACCAGCATCCCTCATCCATCACCAGCAGCATCACCTCTCCACCATCCCCATCACCATCTCTTCTCACACCCACCTCGGTGAGGGGCACGTGCCGCCGGTTGAGAACATCTGGCTGGGTGTCACCAGCACGTGCCCGCAGCTGCCGCCCGTGGCCCCGCAAGAGCAGGTCAGGGTGGGCGGTGGGCTCAGGGGGCCCCCGGCCCAGCCGGTACCGCACTCCATAGCTCAGTGCTCCCCCGTAGGCATCCACCTGCCAGCACAGCGGGCTGTCAGCAGCCACTCCACTGCTGTGCCCAGCCCTTACCCCACCTCGGCGTCACCTTGTCCCCAAGGAAGGGCTCTGGCAGCGCCCAGAAGGCGTCTAGAGCCAGGAAGCGACGGGACAGGTCCAGGAGCTGGAATTCCTCAGTCCCCACATCCACATGGAGCTGGGTGGCCGAGAGCACCGGTGCGGATGGCGCTGCTGGCACCGTCACATTGACACCTGCAAGGAAACACTCAGCCCCTGCTGTGCTCACTGCCCCTGTCCCTCGTCCCCACAACTCACCCTTGAAGTTGTCAGGCTGGTTGAAGCGCAGGTGGAGGCGGTGGCGGTGCCGGGTGGTGGCACGGCAGGAGGTGGTGACACCAAAGCAGAAGCAGGGCAGGCAGCGGGATGTCCCTGTCACCTGGAAGTGGCCCTCGGGACATGGCCCTGTGGGAGATGAGACAGAGGGTGATGGTGACAGTGCCACGGTGGGATTGGTGGCACGGAGCGGGGAGGGGTTCCTCACCAGGGCGGGTGACGGTGAGGATGCTGTCAGGTATGCCGAACACCATGCCCAGGGTGTTGATGGCCTCACAGGTGTAGGCGCCTTGATCGGCTTCTTTCACATCCCGGATAGTCAGGGTGCCCTGTCCAGCCTCACTCACGATCGACACCCTACGGGGCAAATTCGCTACCCAGAGCCTGGCACAAGTGGAGCCCGGCACTCCCGGGAGCCACACAGAGACACATACAGCCAAACACAGCCACACACACCCAAACACAGCCACACACACACACACAGCCACACACAGCCACACACACACACACACACTCACACACAGCCACACACACCCAAACACAGCCACACACACACCCACACACACCCACACACACACAGCCACACACAGCCACACACAGCACCTGACACACCTGGTGCCCCACACACCTGACACACAGTGCCCCACACACCTGACACCCAGTGCCCCACACACCTGACACACAGTGCCCCACACACCCAGTACACCCAGTACACCCAGTGCCCTGCACACTCACTGCTCAGCCCCAGCACAGGAGCCCCTTCCCCCTGCAGTGCCGGTTCACGTGCAAGCCCTGCTCACCTGTGGCTGCTGGGGGTGTGTCCCCAGTTCAGGCGCCAGGTGATGATGGGGGTGGGGACACCGGTGGCTACACAGGTGAAGGTGACGGTCTGGCCTGGCACCGCTCTCACTGACTCCCGTGGCAGCGTCACCACCTGTGGGGGCACTGCCACCACCACCCCGTGTGGTGGTGGTCATTGTCACCGCCACTGGCACCATCTGCTCTGTGTGGCACCACTGGAAAATGGGGACACTGTCACCGCCACCCCAGACCCACCCAGGGACAGGTTCCTTGGCATCATGTCTCCAGTCCAGGCTGGGGACAGAGTCCCCAGTGTGACCCAGCCTGGTTCTGTGACATGCCCCCAGCACGGCACTACCCGGGGCAAGCTTCCAGCACAGGGTCCCCAGCCTGGTGCCATGGCACAGGCTTCCCTGTGTGGCCCCGCCAGGGGACAGGGTCCCCAGTGTGGTGACCATCACTGTGCCAAAGCACAGGGACCTGGACACAGTGTCCCCAGTATGGTCCTGTGGCACTGGGCATGGCTCAGGCAGAGTCCCCAGCCCTGTACTATGGCACAAGGCTCCTGGGCAGTGTCCCCAGCCTGGTGTCACAGCAGAGGGTCCCTGGCACAGCCCAGACACAGCTGGATCCCAGGGACAGCTTGGGCAACGTCCCCATCCCCACAGCACCACATGTCCCCAGCATCGCAGCATCCCTGGCACAGCACCCCCGGGACAGCATCCCCAGCCCAGCCTTGGTCCCCATGTCCCCTCCGTGCTGAGCTGTCCCCGGTGTCACTCACCACATCCAACCTCATCGCTGCGGTCAGGACAGTCGGGCTCCCTGTCACACTGGTAGCTGGCTCGGATGCAGCTCCCGCTGGACACGCACCGGAATTCCGCTGGTCCGCACGCTGCACCAGGTGCCTTGGTGGCTGCAGGGAGTCACAACACAATGTCAGCCGTGTCCCCGTGTCCCCACGTGTCCCCGAGCCCCCGTACTCACGGCAGTCGCTCTCGTCGGAGCCGTCACCGCAGTCATTCTCGCCGTCGCAGCGCCAGAGCTTGAGGGCGCAGTGCCCATTGTCACATTTGAACTCGTTGGGCTCACAGGGGGACAGGGTGCCTGGGGGGCGTGGAGCAAGTCAGCACCCAGAAACCATGGGGTTGGAAAGGACCTTTGAGATCACTGATGACCCAACACCACCTCATCAACCAGAACATGAGTGCCACATCCAGGCTTTCCTTAAACACTTCCAGGGACAGTGACTCCACCACCTCCCTGCGCCAGTTCCAATGTCCAGTTACCCTTTCTATGCAGAGCTTCTCCCTAACGTCCAGCCTGAACCTCTCCTACACACCTTAGGGCCGTGTCCTCTCATCCTGTTCCTAGTTCTCTGGGAACAGCTCAGCTCCCACCTGGCTGCATTCTCCTGTTGGAGCTGTAGAGGTAAGGTTCCTTTCCTCCAGGCTGAGCCCCCCCAGCTCCCTCAGCTGGACTCAGCTGCCCCTCGCAGGACTCGTGTCCCAGACCCTTCCCCAGCCTTGCTGCCCTTCTCTGGACATGCTCCAGCATTCCTGAACTGGGGTCCAGGACTGGGCACAGCACTTAAGGTGCAGCTCAACCAGTGCCGAGCACAGGGGAAGAATCCCTGCCCTGCTCCTGCTGGCCACACCATTCCTGATCCAGGACAGGAGCCATTGGCTTTCTTGGCCACCTGGGCACACTGCTGGCTCATGTCCAGCTGCTGTCCATCAGTGCCCCTGGTCCCTTTCCGCCTGGCTGCTGTCCAGCCACTCTGTCCCCAGCCAGCAGCACTGCAGGAGGTTGTTGTGGCCAAAGTGCAGGACCCCACACTCAGTCTTGTCAAACCTCACATCAATGGATCCATCCCTTGGCTCCAGCCTGCCCAGATCCCTCTGCAGAGCCCTCCTACCCTCCAGCAGATCCACACCTGCACCTAGCTGGGTGTGGATGCCCACAATGGCCTCACCCAGACCATCAATACTGCACAGGACTGGGCCCAGCACAGATCCCTGGGACACACATCTGGTGACCAGACACCGACTGCACCGTCTCCCAGCCATCAGCCAGCTCCTAGCCATGGACTGCCAGCTTTTCCAGGAGCTTGCCATGGGACACAGTGTCCAAGGCTCTGCTGAAGTGCAGGCAGAGCCCCCCAAAGCCTTGCCATCCCCCAGGACCCACCGCAGGCGTCCTCGTCGGAGCCATCGGCGCAGTCGCGCTCTCCGTCGCACAGGTAATCGCGGGGGACACAGCGCCCGTCCCTGCAGGCAGCCTCGCCCTCCCGGCACCCCCCGGCGGGTTTTGGGGGACGGGCGGGCGGCGCTGGGGTGGTGCCTGCAGGGCGGGTGCTCAGCGGGCGCGTGGTGGCCG